ATTGATCGTTTTTTTAACCCTCTTATCTATAAAGCGTTTGAATATTAAAACAAAATTTTAATTTATTTTCTATAGTAATCGTGGTATAGGCCATAATAATCATGGTGGGTAGTAGTTGGTGACTCCTTTTACTATAAGTACATGGTGTCGGTTGAAAGATGGTCAAAACCATTGGTTTTCGACCGCTACGACCCGGGATCGAATCCTGCTTTGACACTTTTTTTCTGATTGAAAATTGCTCCAATGGCCCCCGATTCTTGTAAAAGTCCAACCCCACCAACGAGTGCAAGTAACCAAACGGGGCTCTGGCACATTTGTAAGTGTAAAATTCGAACTGCTTTTCACATGTATAGACATGTGGTGTACTTACAGTAAAAGCAGTCGCCAACTTCTACCTACCGTGATTATCATGGACTGTACAACGTGTACTAGGGATAATTAAAAAACCTGTGTGTGTGTGTAAGTACACTACATATTTGAACATGTTGGAATCAATTCCACTTTTCACATAATGCTCCATATATGTTGGGTTATCTGTACTCACTGGTAGAGGTAGACTTTTGCAAAATTCGGGGGCCATTAAAGAATTTTTTTTCATAAAAAAAGTTCCTAATGTGGGATTCCATCCCATAACGTGGATATCGAAAGTCCACGGTTCATTACCACTCGCACACCAAACCCTTGTAGAGAAAAATAGTGTTTCTCAATTTGCTGTAGTATATATAATTTAAAACGGGATTTTATACGATTCAATTCAGAAAAAATCGTAACGATTTCGAAATATCACTAAGTTATTACAAATAAAATTCTTTGCGTGTGTGTTAAATTGTATAGAATTAACTTCCAATATACGATTGAAAAATGCAACACTCAGTTTTTTTTACACCGTTTTCTGTTCCATTTCTATCTCGCTTTTTGATCCTCGAAATAATTTAGATATATTAAAAAAAAACTATTTTATTGAAATATACCGTAGATAAAGCATTAATACTAAGTTAAAAGATTTATAGTAAGAGTATAGCGCTATAAACACAAGACTATGAACAATTACATTCGGTTTAGGAGACTGTACCCCAACACCTAGGAGTTCTCTACCAGATAACCATGGGGTCCCAATAATCTCCCCTCAAAGCTCAGAAAAAAACTTGAAGATGGACCTTTATGTTTATTCAAGAATGTAGTGAGAGTTTTAATCCATTTCTTGCCTGAAGAGTCAGTAGCCCTGCTTGTCGCTGGATGATTCTGAAGGAATTTGGGATAAGAGGTCAGCTACATGACCAGTACCGTTACCAAATTATATATAATATTCTTGATATGTCTTGAATGTATAAGATTAATCTCTTGATAAAAACTTTATCTATTTTTTTTTTTTTGGTCGTTGAAGTACAGTTTGCACCACGCTGATGAGGGCCAACAGCCCGAAACGCATCCGTGGTTAGCTTTTCTTGATTAATCAAGAATGGGCATTCAGCCATTTCTGGAATAATTGAAAATCAACGCGAATAGTTGATATTTATTCCGTTAGATGGCCAAAGCCATCAGCAACTTACAGTTGCACGATAAGGAGATGCCTTTTTTATAATTTATCTAAATTGTTGCACCAAGTTTCAGCTTTTCAGGGTCGTCGACCTTGGTTTCCTCCTTCTTGGTGTTATGCACCGAGCAGGTTTCCATACTCAAAGCAAATAAAGGAAGGTAAATAAAAGTAAATTACCATTTAAAGTTATTGTGTTTATTTATTATTTGTCTTCCTCTAGGTCCTCTCTCGCTCCAATAACCAATCAAGATATATGTACAATAAAGATATTACAAAAGGAATGAAACTATAAAAAGGAATGATAACATTGTAAATAATCTGTTTTAAATAAATATTAAATATCATAGAATATTTTGAATAAATGTATGGCGCATTCAAATTGATGCAACAATATATTGACAAATATTCATACAAAATCTGTTATTATAACGATTATAGACGAAGAGACACAAGTCGGGGAGAAAATCTTCATTTATAAGAGGACGGTTTGTGTACAAACTTTTGGGTAAGACGTTCTTCTACGGGCACAAAAAGACACGAGTGGCCAATGGTCTATATATATATATATATATATGTTATGAATATTTTGTTTTGATGTTGAAATGATAGAGAATTGAAGGTGCAGTCGTGAAAAGGTAAAGATAGCTATTTACCTTTCAAGTAGTTTTCATTTTCAATTACTTGAAAAGAGAGAATTACACATTAATTATTATTCATAGTAATATAGAATTTATGCGTGAATTAAAAAAATAGGTAGGTTATCTATACATATTTATAACAATATTCAAAAGGTATTTTAAATATATAGTCAAAAATAAAAGAATAGTCAATGATGAAAGTAAAATACATGTTTTATAAAAAAATAAAATATTTGCATATTAGATTATATAATATATATATATATGGAAATCATGCCGGAGGATATTGATCTAAAGAGACAAAGGTCGCCTCTCCCGTCAAAATAGATGTCCAAACCAGTCGCCATCTATTGACCGTCACCGACCCGAAGCCGCTAGTTTGCGGCGAAGGTCAATAGATGGGGTCTAGTTTTTGACGTATATTTTGACGGGAGAGGCGACCTTTGTCTCTTTATATATATATATACACTTTTACGATTATTTTTTACAAATTTATAAAATATTTTTCCAAGCTAAATTACTAAACCTATTTCTTCTATAGCGAATAGGAAGATTATTGTTGTTCCTAATTATAACGGTTATAGTTTGTGTTGTCTCATGTAATAATAAATACTAATATAATAGCATGCTTCGTTCTGATTGGTTGCCTGGTGAGAAGCCAAAAGATAGCTAACAGAAGGATGAAATGAATGCACGTTTATTTTCAAAATATTATTTTTCAAATAATGTAATATATTTCTTTCATTTCGAAAATAGAGCAATCCATATTTAATTTATTAGATAATAAAAAGGCATATATTGGATTTAATAAAAGATTTATTCGCCAATATTTTGGTTGGCTGAACGCTATGCGGAGCTGAGTTTGTATATACAAAAATGTAATGCCTTGATAAAGGTTGGCGTTCAGCCAACCGAAATATTGGCAAATAGATATTTTATTAAATCCAATATATGCTTTTTTATTATCTAATATTTCTTTCAATATCATAAATATTTAAAATATGTAAATAATAATTTGTATAAAATAGTATTTATCAGTAATTTGTTATTGTGATACTCCTGTTGAAGGATTGACAAATCGAAAGCTTGAAAATAAAAGGTTTGCAAAAGAAACTTATCCCTGGAAACTTTATTTATTTTATCACATAAATTTCAAACACAAAATTCATAAATGAAAGATAATTCTGAACATGTGTGTATATCTACACAATGCAATAACGCGCCATCTATATATAACGAATGAAGACATAAATACGCGAATGTTTCCTTTCACAAATAAATCAAACTTCTACTGTCCTTACTGCGATGAAAATATTTTAATTTAATTCTACTGTCCTAAAAGCTTATGTCCATAAGTTTATTAAATACCATTTCTAAGATTCCATCTTTCAGTGCAGCGTATAAAATCAGAATAATCCAATACAATATTAGAGCTCTAAAAAAGCGGTCTGGAAGATTAAATTGGTGAAACCGCTGGGAGGGTTCACCACTGATGAGCCAAGCCCCCCCCCCTCCAATATTTTTTGGTCGCAGTAAGGACAGTAGAAGTTTGATTTATTTGTGAAAAGAAACATTCACGTTTTAATATCTTAATTCGGTATATATATCTGTAAAAAAATTAATATGTGTATAAAATATATATTCAACAAAATAATAATTAGTTAAAAATAAAAGTAAACGAGGTGTTTTTAACATAAAATATGAGAAAATAATTTCATAGAATATTTAACAGTGTTGCCAAAGATATTGAAGGAGTTGGAAATGTCAGACGAAGGTTAACTATCCAACTGACCTTTCTAGATCAAGCAGAAGATTGTTATTTGATAGGACGCCATTTTTAATTGCATTGTCATTTTTTTTAACCTGAAAGGAAATTCAATATTTCTTGATATTTAATATGTAATTTCTTTTTATCTCAATTATATTATTGCTATATAGATTCTATTTTTACCGAATCTTTTGACAAATATAATTTTTGTTTATAGAAAAATAACTATTTTGTTTGTTTTTTCAGGAATAATATAGTATAACTCTTGGATAATTTGAAGGTTTTGATTTCAAATATTTATCTTGGTCTTTAGAAGTTTTAATCCTTTTATTCAAAAGGTTTTTAATTCGAATTTTTGGATAATTCTAATTTTTTTTTTTGTCTCTTGAGCTTCGAATCATCGAACTTCGACTGTAAATGTAAAATCTAATTTCATTTTTCAATCTTTCATTTCTCAAATACAAGCAATGATAATCAGGAAAAGTAATTAGCGTCTGCTTCTACTATAAATCTACCACATGTCAAGATATGTAGAATGCATGTGATATTTGCATTTATAAATGTGCTAGATCCCTGTTTGGTGACTTGCAATCCCTGATGGCGTTGGATGTCTGCAAGAATCGAAGGCAATCGAAGCAAATCTTTTTCATAAAATATGCCTAATGAGAGACTCGAAACAGGATCGCGGCTGTATAAAATCTACAGTTTATACTATTGACTCCCATTTCAATTAATGAAAGTTTTAAATGCTTCATTTTTTATATAATTATTGATTTTGAAAATAGAGCAATCCATAAAAAAATCTTTAAGTAAAAAGGCATATATATTGGATCAAAATATCATTTATTTTTACCAATATTTCAGTTGGCTGAACGCCAACCTTTATATATATATCAAGGTGTTATAACATTTTAATCTTTTAATCATTAATATGTTATAATACCTTGATAAAAAGGTTGGCCTTTAGCCAACTGAAATATTGATAAAATAAATGATATTTTGAACCTATATATGCCTTTTTATTTAAATAATTATTGATATTATTTCTATTTAAATAGGCAGCGTGGCTAAGCGGTTTAAGGCGCTTGTTTAAGGCACCAGTCTCTTCGGAGACGTAGGTTCGAATACAACCGCTGCCACCTTTTTTTTCCATACTTTTTTTTTGAGGGGATGCCAAAATATATTTTTCTATCTCTTTTTACTTCATTCATAGTTTTTAAAGTTTATTTGTGTGAACAGTATCAAGATTTAATATATTTCATGTTGATATTTTAATCAAATATAATATTAATATATTCATAAAACGATAATATAAAGTTTTTACTTTTAAGACATATCATACTTTGATTTTAACCTTAAAAAACATTTAATGTATACAGAAAGGCCAAGATAATAAAGATTCATTCAAAGAGCGAAATCTTCAAGGCTTGTTTCTGATTTCCTTTCCAGATCGTAGAATTTGAGAGTCTTCCTCTGAACATTCTAATGTATAAATCATTTTATTCGCGATCGAACGTTGTGGCCCACTGTACATATTACATCCCAAACACGACACCAGCCATCTCTGTCTTAAGCTCGATGTACCATCTTGGTGACCGTTTAGCCATTGAGTTCTTTTAATTGGTACACGAAGCGTGTCGGCGGACGTCCAGGTATGCGTCGCCCAGAAGTCTTTCCTGTCAGTATTCCCCTGCATCGTACTATGTGACCGAAAAATTTACAAAAAATTCCGACTTACATGTCACAGAAGTCGGTCACAAGTTCCAAAGCTGTATCCAGAGTAAAAAGAGTCGTCATGCAATTATACCTGATTGTCTGTCGAAGTCAGAATTAGAAAATTTGAAGCGCGTATCTCAACCACCAAATATTTTGTCTTAGAGGCTTCCAGATGAAGGAATAAACATTTAAGGCCAAGTTTACGTATAAATACGATATTATTTCATTTAAAATTATATTTTATAGATTCAAATATTCTGTTTTTATCCACCACCAGATTGCGGGACTTTCCCTATATAAAACCGTTTGTTGTTGTTTCTCGATGGCCGGCTCAAACCGTTTGTACATTATGTAAATAAGTTTTCATTTTTTTATTCTTATGCCTTAAATAAGGCAATATTTTCTCGTCTTATTTTTGTTTTATAAGCTCAATTAAAACAATTCTGATCAAAAAGATCAAGAACCAGCAAATAATTCCGTAGCATAATCCTCAAGATAATCAAAATATCAGCAGAAAATCGTATTTTCCTAAAATGAAAAAATAAATAAATTTAAAAAATAGAAAGAAGGTATATAGGTTAAATAGAAAATGATCATGGTAACTCCAATCAGAGAAGTAAGGTGTAGACAATGACTATCATGGACTGACTAAGAAAGAAACATAAATCTCCAGAAGTGGTGAGCTCAGTATCATGTTACCATCGCTTTACAGGAGATGGTAAAACGATCTCCATAGATTATTCAGGTAATTTATCCCCTTTCTCTCTTTTTACATACAATACCTTCTGCTGATAATATTGTAACAAAGTATTTATTATTTTATTAGCAGAGTATTATTTTTTATGTTTATATTTTGCTATACTCTGTACACTTTCTTCTTTTGCTTATATTTTGTTTTATCACTTATAGTTCTTTCTTACCTGAAATAAAATGTTGTCTCATTCCACGTGGCAATATATATGATCTAGTCTTTTGGTATTAAAATACGTGTGTATTCGGAATTTGTATTAATAACAAAACTATTCAGTAACTTTAATTAAACATTTAAATTCAAAATAAAGAGGTTTTCCTTTTTTGGTTTTTATCAAATTTTTAAATACCTATATATTGTAACATATTATATATTCTATAAAAGGATTTTTAATTTCGATAGCTGTACTTTGCTACAATGTAAAATGTACTCATTGCCTCTCTGCTACTCTATTACTTTTAATTGGGTTCTTGCATTAAATAAATTTACGTGTATATAATTCTGAAGTTTGTCTTCCGTATTTTTCTACGTTACAATAGATTTTCCATCTATATTCTAGCCATAGATTTGGCCCAGCCACCTTGCCAGCAAAACATCACTTTGGTAGATTGTGAGGATTCCATTAGATCCCGTGTGGATCTCACAGAATAAATCCGCCCTAGACTGACGAGGGCCATTAGCCCGAAACCATAGTCCCTAGGTGGACGTTTCTCAGTTTGCCAAAGCTGGCGTTGTGGCTTTGTCACCGACCCGAGGCCGCTAGTTGCGGCGAAGGTCAATAGATGGTGTCAGGTTTTGACGTTTCTTTTGACGGGAGAGGCGCCCTATGCTTCTAATATTATATATATTTCTGTGTGTGAGAAAAAAAATATTAAAATATAACATATTTTCGTGGTCAGCATATGACCTTTATATTTTAATAAATATAATTATGAAAAATTAATAAAAAATAAATAAATAAAAAGGTCAGGTATTGATATTAAAAAATAAAAAAGGCATATCTTGACCAGGAGCATAGGTGCTTTTCAGAAGGCAGAGTGCCATCTAGTGGAACAGAAATCAACTAAACATTGATTTAGTCTGTTCCCTGATATTTGGCCAACCCAATTTCTTGATAAATCAAGAAAAGTCATCCTCGAAGTGGTACAGCCTACTTCACGCTGACCAGCGCCAACAGCGCGAAACGCGTTCGTGAATGGCTTTTCTTGTTTATCAAGAAATTGGGTTGGCCAAATATCAGGGAACAGGATAAATCAATGTTAAGTTAATTTCTGTTCTACTAGATGGCGCTCTGCCTTCTGAAAAGTACATGTGCTCCTGGTCAGGATATGCCTTTTTTATTTTTTAATATCAACATACCTCGACATATTTGCATAGTATTGTTTTGTTTTATATATTTTACATGTTGTTTCTTATGATAGGTGAATATATTTGCATGTCCGCGAGTAGCGCGATGTATATATATAGGTGAAGAGAATAATAAAGTTAGAGTTTCTACTAATTAGAATCGTCTCATTGTTACTTAAAATCATTCGTGTTAAGTGGAATACCACAAATGGCGCAGCCGGCAGGATCCGCAAGACCTTCCCTGGAAAGCCTCTTAAGGGAGATGGCTGATCAACAAAGCTTAATGATGAGCATTCTTTGTGGAAATAGGAGAGAAGAATATCTCAGTGAAGAGGATTACTATGAACGAAAGGAATATCTTAAATATTCAATTGTTGAAGATGAAGAGAAAGAAGAGGCAAATAGTGAGTCTCTAGAGAGTCTTGAAAAGTCTGAAATCAGGACGATGGTGAAGCAGCAACGTTTGATCATGGACTTACTTGCCGAAGTTGAGAAAAAATCCGTTGTAGTTGAAGAAAGTGAAAAAGCTCAAATTGAGAAAAAGTCTGTTGTTGAAGAAAATGAAAAAGCCGAAGTTGAGAAAAATTCAGTTGTAGAAACGGAAGAAAGTCAAAAAGCCGAAGTTGAGAAAAAATCCGTTGAAGCAGATGAAAGTGAAAAGGCTGACGATGAAAAAAAGTCTGTTGTAGTTAAAGAAAGTGAAAAAGCTCAAATTGAGAAAAAGTCTGTTGTTGAAGAAAATGAAAAAGCCGAAGTCGAGAAAAATTCAGTTGTAGAAACGGAAGAAAGTGAAAAAGCCGAAGTTGATAAAAAGTCCGTTGAAGCAGATGAAAGTGAAAAGGCTGAAGTTGAAAAAAAGTCAGTTATAGGAACTGATAGTGCAGAGCCTATTACGAAAGAGGTAGATGTTAGTGTTGGTATTGATTCAGATAATGCAGGACTTTGTGATCTTGATGATGCCACTTTCACTCAAGCTGGGGAAATTGACAATAATACAGGGAATACAGAAGAAAGTTCTGATTGCGTTATTGATGTTCCTAACACTCAAGCTGGGGAAATTGACAAAGATTCAGAGAATACAGAAAAACTTTCTGATTGCATTATTGATGTCCCTGACACCCATGCTGGAGAAAAAGAACCTTCTAAGGAGTCTGGTACTGGCAAAAAAGAACCAAAGCCTGGTACCGGCGAAGAAGCACCTCCAAAGGAGTTGAGCCTCCCCACCACCTGGAATAACAGAAACACCATCACCGAAGACATGAAGTTATTGAAAAAAGCTTTGAGAGAGCTACCGTGTTACGATACTCTATTGGAAACTCTCAAAAAAGGAATTTATTCGTTTAAAACAAGCGGTGAAAAAAGAAATATGAAATTAGGAATATGTGATGCTATTATCTGCCATGGAATAGGTGATTTCGATAAATGCAGTCTCGCAAGACCTCGTTTGTTAATATTAAAGAAATTAACACGCTGCCAAAAAGTTTGGATTTATGCTAAAGAATTCAGCCAGATGCAAATTTCAGAGATAGAAAGTGGATTCAGAAGAGAAGCTGAAGGATCTGCGGAATTGCTAACAGCATCCGTACATAATGCTTTTGTAACCTTCGCTGATATTTTCGAAGGAAAAAGAATGAAATATGTAGGAAAAGGTGTCCAATGTATTTGCTATGGTGAAGTCTTATCAAGCGAAAAGTTTTCAACTATTTATAGAATTGGACGATTGAATTTAAAAAGACGTTCATGGGGACAATCTACTGCTGAAGAATTTGAGGAATATGACATTGATGATTTACGAAATAAATTGGCCATCTACAATTCTTTAAGAACCCTAAAAAATGGTCAGATCAATTTATGTTCCTTTATGCTTGTTAAAGATACTGAGAAGACGTTTAGGCTTCTCAAAAATATCTTTGAAAAAGGAAAACCATGGCCTTACTATTGTGAAGGAGAACGAAAAAATTATTTTGTTTTCCTAATGGAATATGGACGAATAACTCTCGAAACGGCTATCAAATCGAGATTTTCATGTGAGGATTTATTAGTATTATTTCGCCAGATTTGTATAGTTTTTGCAATTGGTGAAGAGGAAATTGAACTTTTACATGATGATTTTCATATTAACAATGTTCTAGTTACAGAAGAGAAACTAATCAAATATGAAGTAGCTTCAAAAAAGATTAAAATCCCAACTCTTGGATATATTGCTAGAGTAACCGATTTTGGGAATGCCAGGTGTATTAAGGATATAGATTATGGACAAAGGATGATTGGTAAATATGGAAAGAGACCATGTCCAATTGAGTATTCAAGAAAGAATCTATTTAT